CAGACATGAACAGACAAACCTACACAGACAAAGGGGAGCACAGAGACTATATAGACACAAGGGAGGCAAGGGTGATTGAACACAGGTGAAACACATTACGGCGGGGCAGACAATCACCACACAGAGAAACAGGACCAAGACAGGAAGTAAAAACATTGAGACACACAAGGAAACCAACTACAAAAGTGGACAGGAGTGAAAGCAACCAGGCAAGGGAAGGAGCCTGACGACTGACAGGGAACCAGAATCAGCTGGGCCGCCGACAGGACACGAGGAGCAGGTGAGACGTTGTCCAGAACCATCAACTGGGGAACAAGGGAGGAGTCAACCGGGACCCCTGATGCGTCAGCCAGGATGGTCGACCCAGGAATTGAGCCAGGAGCCAATGAGATGCCAACTGAGACCCCCGACACTGGAACAGCGGATGCGTCAGCCAGGGTGGTTGGCAAAGGCTCCTGGCCACTGGAAAGCAGAGGTTCTGGATAGTGGGGTACCTGGGGCTTGGTCTAGAAACTGGAGACCTGAGGCCAAGGCTCGGGCTTGAAGCTGGAGTTCTGGGGCTCAGGCTGCTTGGGGAACTGGCGTCTCTGTGACCTGCGTTTCTTGGGGAGTTAGGTTGGGGTTAAAATGAAATGGCAAACCATGACAGATTGTTGTTTAGAATGATTGTTGTTGTTGATGAGTGGCAAAAAGAAAAACTACTAATGAAGACATTCCTTTATTTTCTAAGTTGATAGAAATAGTTATAAGTTGTTATTGATGGTATGTGTTGGTTCTATGTGTGACCAGTTTCATACAAAGCACTTTCATTTAACCAGTAAAAACCTATTGTATTTTCAGAGATAACTATTCACATTTTCAAAAGTTACATGTTTAAAAAGTTTTCATTATATAGAAACAGACACATATTTGCTGGCTGCTCATGCTGAGTGTCACATATCAGAGTTCTCCAATAAAAATATAACATTCAAATAAGAGATAAGAACATAGCTCCCAAACATGCTCCCATGTTCCCAGACATGGGACAGGAAAAAAATGCCACTCATTACAATAAAATGGCTCCCATAGTAAAATCAGTAAAATTGATTTTCCATAATATTACTACTAATGAGAAAAATAGAATAATCCAATTAAAGTGGAAGTGTTTTAATTTGAAATTGATGGAGGATATGATGAGGTTGCATTAAATGAGTACTCAGAGATTTTGTATTGCACCTCCATATGGCTGGGGGACTTAAGAAATTAAAAAGACAGATATTAAGCAAATTAAGCAGCTGTTTTGGGCATGACAGTCTCCAGGGAGCACCCAGATAAATTCTGCTTAAAGGCCCAGAAGAGCTTAGTCCAGGCTGCAGATCTGAATAGGAACTATGTCTTTTGATTGTTTTGATATACATCATGAGGTTACGATCTTGATTATTATGGAATGGGTAGAGTTGATGGTTGTTATTTAAAACAACGTTTGCATGCAGAACTAGAATGGCACACGTATAGAGCACATATCTCCACAATACACATCTGTGAGATCTACACCAAATTGTACAAAGTCATAGATCTCAACACCATTAATATGTCTGATTTTTTACGTTAAGTTTCAAACATAATTTTCTGAGAAAGTGATGAAAATGTCGAAAAATACCCTATTTCACAATGTGTGGGAAAGTGATGAAAAAATTCCTGGAATCAGCTTCATGGACAAGCACTTAAATTTAAAAGGTTCTTCTATTTTTGGCATAATCTTGCTGACGAACAAGAACAGTCTTTGGTGAAAACATAACCTCCTTGGCTGAGGTAATCATGACCATACATCGCCCTCACGTGGCCACAGGGGGAACAACACTACAATAAACATACTGTGAAACCACACTGTTAACATCGGTAAAAGTGTTAATGTACTGGGAAATAATTATCCTTCTTATCCAATGTGGGCCAATCAAGTAAGAGAATGGATAGAGATAGATCACGACTCTACAATATGATATAATATAAGAATGGTTGAATGTACCACAGACTACATTAACTTCTGTATGGACACTGTAATACTGGCAAGGACTGTACACTGCTTTCCAAACAACAAACCCTTGATCACCATTAACATCAAGACCCTCCTCAACCAGAAAAAGGAGGCCTTCAAGGATGGAGACAGGGAGAAGCTCAGGTGTGTACAACTTGAGCTGAAGAGGAGATTAAAGCAGGTGAAGGAGGACTACAAAAAGAAAGTAGAGAGGAAGCTGCAGCACAACACCAGAGAGATGTGGAAGGGCATGAGGACCATCACAGACTATAAAGAGAAGAACAGCCAGGCAACATTAGGTGATGTGGACAAGGCCAATTAGTTCAACCTGTTCTACAACAGGTTTGACACAGCCTCACCTGTTCTCTCTCCCACTGCTTCAGCTGCAGCTTCTCCTACGGCATCTCCTTCACAACCTGACACTGCAGCTGCGATTCACTCCACACTGGAGTCAAGTCTCCTGTCCTTTACAACAGAGGAGGGGAAGGCGGAGCTCATGAGGCTGCGTCCTGGAAAAGCAACAGGCCCGGATGGTATGTGTCCACGGCTGTTAAAGGACTGTGCAGCCTAGCTGGCTGAGCCTCTCCAGAGTATCTTCAATTTAAGTCTACAAACAGGGAGGATCCCAGTCCTGTGGAAAACATCCTGTGGTACCTAAAGTAGGATGGATAAATAACTACAGAACAATGGCCCTCACATCACACATCACGAAGACCCTGGAGTGGCTGCTTCTCGACCTTCTGAGGCCACAGGTTGAACATCCACTGGAACCCCTACAGTTTCACCTACAAGGAACATATTGGATGATTTACATGCTCCACCGAGCCCTTTCTTACTTGGATTAGCCAGGTAGTTACATAAGGATTATGTTCTTTGATTTTTCAAGTGCATTTAACACCATCCAACTACCCATTCTTAAAGACAAGCTGGAAGGGATAGGGGTGGATTCCTGCTTCATGTCCTGGATTGTGGATTACCTGACAAGACGACCACAGTACGTCAGGCTGGGTAACTGTGTCTCAGGGACAGTGATGAGCAGCACTGGGGCTCCACAGGGGACTGTTCTGGCTCTGTTCCTGTTCACCCTGTATACGGATGACTTTAATTACAACTGTGAGTCCTGCCGCATCCAGAAATACTCAGATGACACAGCTATTGTGGCGCGTATCAGGAATGGGCAGGAAGAGGAGTACAGGGATCTGACGATGGCCTTCAGTGAATGGAACGACAAGAACTGCCTCCTTCTGAACACCTCCAAGACCAAGGAGATGGTCATGGACTTTAGAGGGAAGGACATTGAGGTGGTGCACACTTATAAATACCTAGGTGTGCACCTGGACAGTAAACTGGACTTGTCCCTGAACATGGATGCCATCTACCAGAAGGGGCAGAGCCGGCTCTTTTTAGTCAGGAGGCTCAGGTCCTTTGACGTCTGCAGTGACATGCTGCACATGTTTTATCAGTCAGTGGTTGCCATTGTACCTTTTTATGCTGCAGTCTGCTGGGGCAGAGAGACAAGCTGGTCAAAAAGGCTGGGTCTGTGCTTGGCAGTAGTCTGGACTCACTCAAGACTGTTGTGGTGAGACATATGCAATGTATGATGGAGGCCATCTTGGACAATACCAACCACCCTGTCCACACCATTCTGGCAGGACAGAGAAGCAGCTACAACTGCAGCAAACGTCTCATCTCACTGCGCTGCAGAACAGAGAGGTTCAGGAGATCCTTTGTTCCCACTGCCATCAGGCTATACAACACCTCAGCCAACGGAAGTGGACTAATCTAATTATTATTGTTTTATTATTCACTGTTATTATTATTATTATTATTATTATTATTATTATTATTATTATTATTATTATTATTATTATTATCAACAATAAGCTAATGGACACATGAATTTCCCTTAGGGGATAAATAAAGTATCTATCTATCTATCTATCTATCTATCTATCTATCTATCTATCTATCTATCTATCTATCTATCTAATATAATATAATATTAGTCTAAAATGTATTAAAAATTCTTCCTATCCTGCCAGAAAGTAAGAAAAGGAAATGATAGGGAGTTTACAACATGTTGAGTGTTTTCTTTGACATTTTACCACATTTGACTAAAGCTAACTACTGAACAGAAAATAGTATGAAATTGTTTAATGTTCTGTGGGATATTTATGACACCAATGACACCAAAAAAGTTTCAAGAAAAATGATAACAAATGGACAGTGTCTTCTTCCAGGAAAGGATGCTCGACAAGATACGTTTTAAATGTAACTTTAAATATTACAATTAATGCCATATTGGTTTTAAACACCTTATAGCTACTTGATATAAGGTGTTTTGTATGAAAAGCCAAGTTTTTAATATATATCTATATGGCTTGATACTATTTTCAGAATTAATTTAATTTCAGGACACTATATTGATTCAATGCATGGACTAAAGAACAGTAAAGCAATAAAAACAGTAGAAACTTGTAAAGCCTTAAAAAATGTTCTTTAATATCTTTGTTTTCTTTCATGGAACCCCTTTGTATAAACTTTGGTTTTGTCCTTTTGAAATACTTTTGTTTATTATTGTTATTTCATCATCTTTATTTATATATTGCATTTATTTCCTTTTATTGTGTTTATTTTTATTTGTAGGCTATCTATTGTTCATATTTTTCTTCATATGTTTCTTCTATCAGAAGTTATGATTGTTTCCTCCTTTTTCAATGTTTAATTGTTTTAATACGATGAAATGAAAAATGTTTTGAATAATAAAGCATTTGAAAAAAAAATAGAATTAATACCTTTTATTATGGTAAAAAAAAGACAATAGGAATAAGAACTACATTACCCATGAACACTTTGTACGGAAATTTAACACTTTTCCTGCATAGTGAGGTATTTTCTCGTTCATTGGCTGAGCGCCACGGCAGGAAACACATAGCGAAATATGGTTGGCTAGTGGTCTCCCTTCAGTTCCCCGGATAAAGATTGCCTATATATATAGGACAATTGTAGGCGGGTGTTGTAGTTCAAACTAACAATCCGTACCAAGGCATTTGGTTTTGTGCTGCAGCGGTAGACGTTATTAGTGGATTTTAAACATGGTACGTATTTCATGTCGTCTCAGCGACATATCACAGCGGTGTGTGTGTGTGCTAGTGGTTTGTTGGCAGTTAGTCGTAAATAGCCGCCGGAGCTTTTCAGTGAATAGCTAACTGTTAGCCGCTAACATTAGCTGTTGTACTAGCTTAGCATGCTAGCTAACATATCGTTATTGGTTGCATTGACCAAACGACAGTATGGCTAGAGAAAGGCGCGGTAAAACTGACCACTTTAGTCAATGTTATTCCTTAATAATACAGGATGTGACGATTGTGAGCTCATCAACAGTGTCGGTGTTTTCCAGGCTGGTGGTAAAGCAGGTAAAGATTCCGGGAAGACCAAGACGAAGGCTATTTCGCGCTCGCAGAGAGCAGGACTGCAGGTTTGTCCATTGACACTCATTCATTGCCTCGGCGGTGCTAACACACAAGCTAACAACCAGCCGTCGCAGAGGTTACTCAGCTGGTGGCCGTCTCTCACCGACAGGCCAGTGAACCCTTTGTTTCCATGCGTTGAAGCCCGCTTTCTTTCTTTTTCTTTCTTATCGCCGCAGTTTCCGGTGGGTCGTATCCACAGACACCTTAAGTCAAGAACCACCAGCCACGGCAGAGTGGGAGCCACTGCAGCGGTGTACAGCGCGGCTATTCTTGAATACCTCACTGCCGAGGTGACATTGCCCCCGTTATCTTCCACCAACTCATAAGAAATGATCTAAACCGTCTCTGGAGAGCTGCTGTTACATGCTGTTATCTAAAGCCTGGCTCTCTTTCAGGTTCTAGAGTTGGCAGGAAATGCATCAAAGGACCTTAAAGTGAAGCGTATCACCCCTCGCCACTTGCAGCTGGCCATTAGAGGAGACGAAGAGCTGGATTCACTCATCAAGGCCACTATTGCTGGTGGAGGTAGGGAAACAGTTGTGAACATATTTACTATGCTTTGATCTTTAATTATAAATGACCTATTGTATCAACTTCTCATTGTTAATGGCTCATCCATTGTTCTTTGTTTCCCAGGTGTGATACCTCACATCCACAAGTCTCTGATTGGAAAGAAGGGCCAGCAGAAGACCGTATAACCTGAAGTGCTCTGGAAGTCGTGCCATCTCAGGACGAAGTCTGCATCAAGTGGTTAAATGTCTTAGATTAGAACACCTTTTAGGAGTTATTTGTATGGTTGAGCTTGCATTTACTCACCTGGGGTATTTTTTTAAAAGTGGCTTCAGAGAAGCTCATTTTTTTGTGTTTTGGCTTTTTTTTTTTTTTCCTTTTCTTTTCTTTTCTTTTCTTTTCTTTTCTGGTGCTGCAGTTTTTGTGTCAACTTCCTTTTGTGGCGTTCCCATGTTTTAAAGTGGTGTTTTAATAAAGCTCTTATTGGGCATTTGCAGTTTGCTCTTTCAGTTCTTACTTGTTCATGAGCGTGTTTCTGTTATGTTATCACTTTCTACTCTGCAGGTATTCAGTTGGCTACCCCAGTGTGGTTGGTGAAAATGTTTGGCTTTAGTATTATTATCCTTTACAGTTTCAAAGAATCAACAAAAGCAAAGATCAACCACCGCTACCACAGCTTGTACATGGAAAGTGTCATGGCGTACATAGACCCATCTTAAGCGTTCAAACCATCAGTTTCAGTCTTGTGCAGTTGCATGAATTGCAAAGCATGTTGAACATCAGTTTACCACTGGACTGAAAAACTGGGAATATTTGTCATTTTTGGATTCTGAATAAAGACTGGACTGGCACAGTCAGAACATTTTACATATTGTGGTGTATGGATGGCTTATTTGCTGAATTGCATGAAGGCTGTTTGGTTGTACTCCAGGTTGAAGAGTAAAGATCTGGTATGAAGGTTAATTTCTAAATTCAGTAGAGCCAGTATGACTTCAGTTTCTGTCCTTTTAGCTATTAAAACATGACGTAGAATAATTCAGTAAATACCTTCAGTCCATTTTTGAAAGACAATCTCAATGTTTGGGCAAGATTTTACAAGGAAGTTCCATTTGATAGTGCTTAGAAAAACATTTTTTAAAACACAATTCTACAAAGTTTTCATGAACAAAATGACATTAAAATGCAATGTAAATCATGAGAATCCATGAATCCAGACAGGAGTAGTTTGTGACTAAAATCTTGGAATCAATTACCTCTTTTAACCTGAACATCAAACTATCACTAGATGGCGTCGTGACACCACCACAGGTCTCCTGTATCCAGTATGAAGTGTCAGCTGGGATACACAGAGCCAACAAACACAGAAGTCAGGGCCCGTATTTATCAAGCATCAGACTCATTTTGGAAGTTCTCCTGAAAGTGAATGTTATGAATGGCACCAGTAACAAAAGCTGTAAGAGAAATGATGTGTTCACAGAAACTATACTAGTCAAACATCCAAAATGTACATTTATTACATTCTCAATAATAAGTCTTACATTCATAATTAAATATTCAATTTGATTTAAATTACAGGGATAAAACCATTTCATGTTTTTATCAGGTTGACAAAACCTGTATAACTGATTGGGATTTAAATGGACACTGAGCAAACTTATAGATTTTTTTAAAAGCTGCATTATCCAATTTTGCCTCATATGTAAAGATTGTAATTTATAGGACTTGATCATTGATATTGTCAGTAGTCAGTGAAGTTGTTAGCCCTACTTTTCTTTCATTTCTTTTTTTGGTGGGAATGGTCTTTATTGGACATATAGCACACCCCATATAGGCTAACATTAATTGACCAATGCCATCACATTAATTAATTACATTTTGATTACAATTTGACAATTAAATTACATATTTTAGTAAAATTTTGTACAACTTTTGAAGATTTATCTCACCATTTAGTAGTTCTTCTGGAGTTTTCGGTCATACCACATGATCAAGAATGAACTGCAGTTTTGGCTAATGCTTCTATTGGTTATGCTAACATTTCCATGGCAATAGAGCAAACTCCATCTGCTGAAGAAGCCCATTAAGCTCCAAATTTAAGCGCTCAAGTCACCATTGTGAAAGAGTTGTTAAAAGCCTGTTTGGAGATTCCTGCCCTGTTGGCTGTATCTTAAGTGATGTGACCACGCTCTGAGATTTCAGTAACAATGTTAGCATAACCAATAGAAGTGTTAGCCAAAACTGTAGTTTTCTTTTAAATAGACAGTCATTATTTAAAGCACTTTAAAGCTGCATCAAAGGGGCCTAGTGGAGTTTTCATGTAAATAAACAAAAGTTATGTTTACATTAGTGTTACTCACTAAAATGCACAGTGTGTGTCCTTGAGGTCCGACAAACATGTTAAGTGTATTTCCTTCCACATAAATTTGATAAGACAATTTTAAAGGCGCTACTTGTAGATTTTGCTATCACTACGTAGCCAACGTTAGCATTAACAGCTGTTTACTTACCAGTCTTGCCAAGAGCTTAAGCCATCATTGTGTTTAGAGGCCATAGGTTATATTACGTCCTGTGAGCAGCTGCTTCTTCAGGGCAGTCTGGATGCTACAGTGAGTTGCTATCAAAGTGTTTGAAACAAGTGATAGAAAAGGGTTGCTTTTTCACCTCTGGAGACAACTGTTGGTAGTGAAGGAATGAAGTTTGATCCTGAACCCTCAATGTTTCTTATAGACTAGAAGGTAAACAGCTGTTAATGCTACGAAAGTTGTGTAGCAACAGCAAAACTTACAAATAGCTCCTTTAAATCCAACTTTGTTTACATCCATGTTTTCTAGCTTGTAGTCTTTTTCTTCCCTACCTTTGTGTATTACTTCCACCTGTAGTTCAGTGTGTATGACATCATGTGTGTCCTCCCGTGCCTGCATGAGATAAATAAATCAGGGGCCCACTCTTAAAAAACTCTACTAGAGATCTAAAATGTCACAGGGAACCTTTTCAAAAATTTTTCTGATTTTTTTACTGATTTTTAATTCTTATTTTTTAATTTGTAGAACTTCATTAACCATACATTCTTGTAATTACAATTCTTGTAATATATCCTAATATGTTCAGTAAGCTAAATGTCTTCATAACATATTGGTTCAACCCTTATCTGAATCAAAACATTGTCGTAATCGTTGCGCTTTAGAGGTGTTGGTAGGCTTCCATTCTTTATGCTAAGCTAGGCTAACCACATTATAGCTGTGTCCCTATTCAGGGGCCGCATCTTTCGGAGGACGTGGTCCTCGAATGTGTGGCCCTTCATAGCCGTTAAAGAACATGAAGGCCGAACCGAAACTAGACTGTCTGGTCTACAGAGGATTTTTCCAGCCCTTACTGTTGCGTCGCAAATCACAACTCCTGCTGCCTAACAACCTTGACAACACGTAACTTTTTTTCACACACACACACACACACACACACACACACACACACACACACACACACACACACGCAACCACAGTCGCACCAGCCACACACAACAAGACTTAACACCACACACATACATACATACATACATACATACACACACACACACACACACACACACACACACACACACATGCCCACACACACAAACAAACACACATATGATTAGTATCAGTTTTCTCATCTCACTCTCAGAAAGAAAGCAAATATGCAGCTTTTCTAAAATGTTGAACCATTCCTTTAACACTCTGGTTGTTCTTATTATTATCATTTATTTAAATCTGGAACAGAAACCGGCTGACTGTGAGCATTTAATTAAATCTTCAAAAATGGTTCAAAAAGGAAAGAAAATCACAAATTCCTTGCTAATTAAGGAGTGATTAAGAATTGTTTTCTTTTTGCTCTTTGTGTGAGTGAAATCAGATGTGACATTTAAAAATAATTAAGAAAACTTTTCAGTGTGAAATAGACTTGGCTCGCACGCAGCACCAGAGCTGGTTTTGCTGGCTTGTCCAAACCAATCAAACATGCAGGAGAGGCTTAGGTCCTTAACTGGACAAATGAGGCCAAACACTACCTGGGTGCACTCCTCATTTTGCCTCATTTATGAGGAAATAATGAGAGGAACAATTAGTAAACTGATCCATAGGCAAGAGCACCAGAAGTCATACTGGTTCACATGGGGCTGGAGACTATTCCAGCATGCACTGAGTCTAACAATATTGAATATTGAATATGCTATTTAAAGGGATAGTCAATCATTTTGAAACATACTCTTTAATCTCTTCATGAAAATAAATGTAAAAGTGAAACATACTCTTTAATCTCTTCAGGAAAGTAAATGTAAAGCTGAGTGTGTGTGTATAGATGGAGTTATATACTGGAACTATTTCTTGATGTACAACAGTATATCCATCCACCCAGTATTCTGTGAAGTGCGTCATCAGGTGTAATTATGGTTGCCATAAATGGTCAGTGAGCACAGGTTTTGGCTTTGCTCTCTGATAGTGCTGCTGTACCTGACTGTTGTTCAACAGTCTCATCATCTAATTTCCTGGTAAAACCATATATTGATATTTTTAGCCATGCAAGCAGCTAGTTAGTTCAGAGTGACCTATCTCAACAACTACTGGTTGGATTGCAATAAAATCATGTCAACGTTTTAGATACTTTAGTTTATTACCAAATACCTGCAGAACTAATGTCCCATCAGCCTAGCTGTACCTTGTGGTTAGTGCTATTTAGGAAATATTAGCATGCTAACACACGGAATGGTACATATTATAAAGGAGACTGGGGACGGTTGCAACAAATCTTATTCCTCCAATCAGAAACATGCTGTGATGAGAGTGATGACACTCATTCTGTGCATGCTCAGTTGAAGACACAAGAATTTAGCTACAGCCTCACAAAAATGGTAGCATGGTTGTAGACTCACCAACCAGTTAGCTTTAGAGATGTTGGAAGATGTATTTTTGAACTTTGGACAAAGCCAGGCTAGCTCATCCCCCTGCTTCAAGTGTTTATGCTAAGCTATGCTAACAATGTCTTGATTCCAGGTGTGTGGGGGAGACTGGGGATGGTTGTAACATTTTTAACATTTCTGTCTGTATCTTTTAAGCCAGTGTGTTCAAAATGTGAAATACCCTAGTTCCATGTCTCTACTGTTCAATGGTGTAGGTGTTATCTCTGCAACACAAACAGAACATGTCTGTGGTTTAGTCTCAAACACAAGGAGTGAAATGTCCAGGTTAATGTAGTATATCCTGGGGTGAAATGTGACATTATGACATAAGGATTATGACTAAAACTTGATATTGAAGCTTTTTATTCAACACTTAACAACAACTAAACAAACAAAAAACAACAACTTTCAACTCAAAATGAGTTTTTTCCTTCTAAAATAGACTGTCTGACACAGCAAGCTACTTCCTCACATGTGGAATAAGGACTAAACTGAGCAGGTATAGAGTGAATCAGGTGGTTCCTAACTTGTTCCTGATTGGAGAAATGGGAAGTGTTACAACTGACCAATGTTACAACCATCCCCTGTCTCCCCTTACTTTGGGCAGTTTTGTTTTATTCAAAGATGGAGAGAAGACAGGTGACAGAAAAGAAGGGAATAACGATATTAACCACAGTTAAACATCTTAGTGTTCCATCCAGATGTGAGGATTTGAAATCCAGCACAGTTCACAGTTGAGTTTCTATGGGAAAAAAACTCCTAGGATCAACAAAAGGCTGGGAGGAAGATTTGGTGGGCACTTAACAAATCAAGCACTGTATCTTAATAAAGTTTAGTTATAATTTCTTTTCCTTTTTTGCTTATTTTGGTTGCATTTGGAGTCATACACCAGTGCATCCAGACCGATGTGGACAAAGTATCAAGCCTCTGCATCAGG